TGGCTCTGTTTTCTCATTGACTCTCAATAGTCACCTCCCCCTTGCAGCTCAAAAGCTGAAAATCCAGGGTCCCTAAACTTTTGTTCACCTTGATGGGGTCAAACAGGCAAGAAAAAAAAAAGAAGTCACCTCTCTTCACGGGAGTTTCTCACTGGGTGAAGAAGAGGAGCCTACAGCAGGTTGTTGCAATGGGGCATCTCTTCTAATATTCTCTGACCATGAGATGGAGACAAAAAAGCAGCAGAGGAAGGAGATGCCTACACAACTGTCTGGCTGTCAGGAGACAGGAGGGGAGAGCTGTGTACCCAGAAGCAGCCAACAGGCAATGCGCAGCTTTGTTTCCCTCACCCTTTGCTCTCCTATGCGTCCATGCAGAGAAACCAGTTTCATTCTGGGGCTCAGATGCCAATACACTTCTGCCCCAGGTGTCCTAGCTTCCTGAGGTTACTCCCCTGAAGATGCAAGAAGGACCTCGGGGACCCAAGGCAGGCCACTGCACTTGCAGCTAGTGGTTTTAGCCACACACAAACCGTAAGCGGCCCCATCTCTTACCCCGAGGCCTGCCATGGCCTCCAGAAAAGAAGGCTTCTGGGAATGTGGGAGGGGCTCTGCCCGCAACCCTGAGAACATCTCTTGAGGTGATTTAGCATTTAGGGATCTGAAGAATACGGTGCTAACCTGGCTTCTTTCAACTTCGTCTCCTACATCTGAACTCGAACCCTCCACTTAAGCCATCAGCTCCCATCTTGTCCATGTGCCTTTTGTCCTCTGAGCCTTTGCTCACAACATCCCTCTGCTGGTGCTATACTCACTGCTCGATTCTACTTTTCCAGATCCTCCCCTTTCTTCCAAGATCAGCTGCAGACTTCGCTCTTCTCTGGACCCAGCCCAGCTTCCCCTTGTCCCTCCCTCCTCTGGATTTCAATCATGTTGGCGGTTCTGTGCCCTATAAGCACCATGTGGGCAAGGGCCACGTCTAAGGTAAGCTCCAAGGGATAGGACTTGGTTTTGTTTACTGCTCCCTAACCCAGCACCTAGAACAGTACCCAGCACGTGATAGGCACCCAATAAATGCTGGTTGAATCAATGAATAAATCTCTATATCCCCAAAAAATGCCTAGGAAGGTGCCCTAGCACAGAGATAGGGTTCATTAATGTTTCTTTTTCTAATTTCTGTATTTAATTTTTAGGAAATTACACATCTAGAAAGACTAAATAATAATAGGTGGTAGATTTAACGTTTCTTGAATGACTGGATGAACACATTAATCAGTTGTCCCCTCATTTGGCAATGGTCACATATTGCATTCTAGTATTATTTCTCTTTTTGTTTATGGGTCCTCCCCAACTTGCCTATAAGCTTTTGGACACCTAGAATAGAAGCAAAGAGGGTACCTGGCCTTCATTCCTTCCTGCCATATGTAACTATTAGGCATCAGGTATATACCTTGCATCCAATAGACTCTCAGTGGATATTGGATGAAGTTAAGGAGGGGGCAGCCCTCATCCAGCCACAGCCCCAACCCCAACCCAGCCCTACAGGCATGTCCTAAAGCAGAGTAGCTGCAGGGACTCCACTCATCTCTTTGCCCAGTGCAGTCTAACAGGAGGCAAGGAAGGTGAGAGAACCAGGAAGAAGGGTCCCTCTCTTCCCACCCCAGTAGCACAATGCATCGTTCCATCCTGCAAGGGCTGCCATGCCCACCTTGCAGGGCTGGTGTGAGGACTGAAAGAGCCAACAATCGAGAACATGCCGTCCTGCCCAGAGCCTGATATAAGGCAAGGGCCTGAGAATAAATAGTAGCTTCCTACTCACTTTCCTGTTTCTCTGCATCCAGCAAGGAACAAAAAGAGCATCTTGCCTTTCCTTTTCCTGTCGTGTTTCCTAGCACTGGGGTCAGCCTGGATCCAGAGGTGCCACCTTATCCTCATTCTTTACCCCTCTCCCCTAGAACCCCTACCTCCCAAACTCCCTGGCTGATCAACTAGCTACCCTGCCCAACCACTGTTTAGCTCCTCACCCTTCTCATGTCCTTTCCATCCTCACCTTCCACTCCCCACCACAGTCTCCCTCAGGACCCATGCTTACCTGTGCCAGGGGGACTGGGACAGTGGGCACCCGGGCTCACCTGGGTCCCATCTGTAGAGAGAAGAGAGATGGAGAATAGGGGCTGCAGGGAGGCGGCACAAGGAGAGCCAAGCCAGGCAGGCTCCTTGCCACTCCAGGAGGCCTGCACCCAGCTAGCTTGAGCCCTCCAAAACCTTGCACCTCCACCAGAAGCTAACCAAAAAGAGGAGACTGCACGTCACTCCTTTCCTCTAATTCCCATGCTGGACGATGGCAGTCCTTACCTCCTTCTTCCTCTTCCAATCTACTGAGCGACTCAGATATCTCGCCCTGCTGGAGCTCAGCCCACAAGAACCCAAAGAGGTGCCAGTTCACCCAACAATGCCCTCAGCCCTCCTGATGTGCTCGGGTTCCCATAGCCCAAAGGGGAAGAAAAGGGCTAGGAGGTGAGGTGGGACAGCACGGCTGCTGAGACTACACTAAAGATGCCAGGAGGGAGATGGACAGGAGAAATCGGGCCTGGAGAAAAGGAACTGGGGCCCACTCAGACACTTCCACAGTGGGAGAGGAACTGGGTCATGGCCTGGAGGTCAAGTTAGATCTGGTGGGAGCTGTAACATGAGGCGTCTGGAATACACAGCCCGAGGACCCCATGGTAGGAGCTCCTTTCCTCCTGCTGCTCCATCCTGTGTCCTGCGGCCTGCTCCCCCAGGGAAGAGAACCAACCACTCAGCCATTTTCTAGGATAACATGAAATAGAAGTCTTTCCTTCTAGAAATGGTCACCTCTCTCAGGCTCCTAAGCCCAACCCAGAAACTCTATCCCATTCAGAAGGAGAGAGGCCCTCAGGAGCCCAGAGGCTGAGTGGGCTGAGTGGGATGGACACCTTTCCCTCCTGCTGTCCCAGTTCAGAGCCAAGGGGACAGGAGGCCAGGGACTGGAAAGCCATCTGGAGGGGGCATTTAGTGGACACACAGAAGCCCTCTTTAGGCCAGACCTGGGGTAGAAAAAGTATTTTCTGGAAGAAAATTGATGGGTGCTCCTCTTTGGATCTGAGTCTAAGGGGCAGCCACAGTTCCTCTTCTAAAGCTGAAAAAGAAGAACTCCCTGCAGGCAGACACCACTGGGGGATGGGACAACTCTGGGCCCAGAGAGACTCCCACCAACTGCCCTCAAACACTCAGGCCCCATGCTTCTGATGACAACGTTTGGTAGGGAAATGTGGCTCCACCTATTCAAATTCTGCCCATCCTTCGAAGTCCGATCCAAGCCCACCTCCTCATGAAGCTCCCCCTGACCTCTCCTCTCTTCAATTCCCAGAGCACCCACTCTGTGTCCACCACCTGGACATTTCATTAATCATGGTGTCTGGGGTTTCATTCGTAAGCCATGTCCCTCTCTACCTAACACTTTGCTGGGCGCATGGCAGGCTCTGTTAGGAACTGGTGAACTGAACACAATGCCTCTCTCCTGGCTTCCTGCCCAGGACATGGCACGAATATTTCTCAAGGTTTGTGAGCCTCAAGGAACACTGGGGCGGGAGGCAGCCTCTCCGCCCCAGGATGTGGTAACCCCCATCCTGGGCTCTCTTAGGACCTCTTTCTTCTGCAGGACCTGGTGCCCCAGGAGAGGTTTCTGAATCAGTTTCCCAGGTACACTCCCAGAGCCCGTGTTGGGCCTAGAGTCCCTGACTACAGAGAATTCTCTCCTACCTCCCTGGTCCCTGAGGACTGGTCAGCAGCATTCACGCTTGGGAACAGAGCCAGTTCTCTGCGCCTCACTCTCCTGGTAACCACAGATTCTGGACACCGTGGACTCTCTGGATAGGAGAAAAACTAAAGGCCCTGAACTCCGTAGTGTTTATTACCAGGCCCAAAAGGGATGTTCTGTGAAGCTGATCGATGATATACACTCTGTTCAGAAAAGCTGCATGTGTGCACGTGTGTGCGCATTTGTGCTGCTAACAGGGGCTGTTTCTAAAAGCAATTCCTGAAAAAAGTTTGGCTTCTCCCCTAACTCCCCAGCTCTGGGCTGCCAGCCTTTGATTTCCGAAAAGCCCAGAACATCAGAGATAAGACCTGAGGAACAGCTCTCCCGTGTCCCAGAGGGTGGAAAGGTATTGAAAGGCACCTAGTCAGTGGGTAAACTGAAACCAGAAAGTGAACATCCTGCATCTCAGGCCTGGGGATAAACTTGGAGGCCCCTCTTACCAATGGCCCCTCTAAAAGCACTGGTATCACTAATTTGGGGTCAAACTGAAATAGCATCAGGAGTGAACGGGCCCAAGGGGTGGAGAATGCTGTGTAGGGCTGGACCCTTCTCACACAGATCCAGACCAGGGTGGAGACCTCTCCTTTTTGGAGTTCTAGCTCTACCCATTTCTACCTTCTTGGGAAGCAACTGTGGTCAGGCTGAAGAGACAGTTTATTTGGCACTGAGGCACCTGGCCTACCAAATCACCTCCCCAAACCAGAATACCTGATCTCAACCAGAACCAAAGAGCTCCAGAAATCCTGTCCCGCTGGGTTGACCTCAGCCCTCAACAACCTCCAGAGCAGACACAAAGGCCACTCTTCCATCGCCTGAGCACCTGTACAAGCTGTTCTCCCCACTTACCTTGTTGCCCCGGGCCTTTACCTGCCCAGAGAAACCTGAGCCCTGCCTGACCACCTGCTCTCCCAGGTGCGGCAGGCCCTCTATCAGGGAGATGGCTTCCCCAGGAGCACTGCCACCCAGAAGCCCTCTCCTAAACGCCTCTGATGGCTTTTTTGAAGCTGTTTCACCTGCTTGGTCTCCTGACCAGCTAAAAGGAGGGGCAGGAAGACCCAAGCCCCAGGAGCTGGAGGAAAGCAGGCAGCAACAGAAGGCCAAGTGCTAGGTTCAGGGCTGATCCCCTCCACACCCCACGCTGCAGCTCTGGTTCTGTTTCCCTGACACAGGCAGGACAATGCTGGCAGAAAAGAGGAAAGCTGAGGCCTCAGGAAGATCCAAGAATAAATAAACCTAAGAAAGAACATCATGGTTGCCAGGCCTCTGTGACACAGAGTGAGGGCTGAGAACAGAGGAGAGAAGCCCTTCTTGAGGGCACCCGGGTCACAGAATCTGAGAATATTAGAACTAAAGAAGCTTTAGAGATTGTTCAGTCCAACATTCTCACTTTACAGAGGAGGGAAGAGACAGGTCATGGTCACCTCACAGGTCAGTGGTACTGCCAGGCCAGACCAAACCAGTGCAAGGGGAACCCAAAAAGTCTATCCCAAATGCAGGTACTAAGCACTTTCATTGTGAGCTCACTCATCCAGGGGTTGAATGGATGGAAATAAGAATGAAACTTGGTTCTCACTTTCAAGGAGTTTAAAATAAACTCAGAATTTTTGAGAAATTAAAAAGCGTACTACTTATAGATACTAAAAAAATTCAGAGCCCCAAAAAGTATATACAACAAAGTTTCTTACTCATCTAACTCCCTAGAATTTCCCTAGAATTAACCCTTTCTAATAGTTTCGTGAGTACCTCTTCCAGAAATTCTTACTCATTTTCTTGACATTAAGCTGCTTAATGCTCAGATTTATCCAGAATCCAGGGGCCTGCAAGCTGGCTGGAAATTCCTGTCACATGAAGTTATGGAAGTTATCCGCAGCATAGAGGAAATTGGCTTTGAGGTCAGATGGACCTGGGTTCAAACTCTGACTCCCTCAGTGACCAGCAGGGAGAGCCAGTGATACAACGTGACCTGGTCAGGCCTCAGCTGCCTCATCCATAATAAGAGAATACGAGTATCTGCTTGGAAGCAGTTATGAGATTAGCAATGCTGTGTGTGAAGCGCCTAGCACGTGGTAGATACTGCCTCAGTGATCACGATTAATACTGCTTGCCCCTGAACTTGTCTGCAGCTTCCCTTCTGGCATAAGCATTTCAGTGTCTGGTCCCAACTGCATCCTCCCCTGCTCTACCATAGTCCGCTTTCTCCCAGATGAATTCTCAGGCCCCATCTCTTACCCACTGCCTCTCTCAACTACAGTCTCTTCCCTTTCTCTTTCACCTGAACTTTTGTAAACTATAGTAATACTTTACTATGTGCTAAGAGTTGTTCTAAGTTCCTTACAAGTGCTAGTTCATTTAACCCTCATGACCAACCAATCAGACAGTTACTGCTTTATCTCCATTATGTAGATCAGTAGACCAAGGCCCAGCAGTGTTAAATAACTTGTCTGAAGTCACATAACATGCAATTGGCTGAGCTGGGACCTGAGCCAGGCGATTGGGCTCCAGAATCCATGTTCTCAACCAATATGCTCCCTCACTCCTCCCTAGCACTTCCACTCCCCACAGGCCAGCAGGGAGAGAGCAAATACAGGACCTAGCTGGGCAGAGAGAAAGATAAAAAAATCACATAGCCCCACGAAGACCCTTACCAGCAAACCCCGGCCCTACTGCAGACTGGAGGGCAGAAGCTGCCTATTTCACCTTTGGGCTCCCATGAAGACAATCCTAACGAATCACTTCTAGATAGCAACCGTCAGCTTCACAAATTCCACGCAATGATTTCAGACCACATGTCTGAACAAGGGGCTGACAACAGGTTGAGGTCCATGGGCATCATGTTCTCTGCTCTTGGGTGCCCTGCCATATCCTTTCTCTAGAAGCTTCCAAGTCCCTCTGAAGCTCTCTCATTAGCATCCCAAAGTAAGCTCCCCTCTATCTAGAGGGACCAGGGGCAGAGACTGGGCTCCCAAGTGAGTGGCCTGGGACTTGGACCTGCCCCTCACAAAGGCGTCCTGTCAGTCTGTGGGAGGGGGCTGAAGCTTTGCAGGATCAGCAACTGTGCACCAAGCAGGAGGCTGAATGTCAGGGCAGCGAAGCTGGCCCTCCACGCTCCTTCTGCTGCCTCAGCTGTAAGCATGCCCCTAACCACTCCCCAACCCGCCCCCCCAACCCTGCTGGGGCCCGGTGGCAGCTATTTTTAGCTCTTGACACCTGGGTATTTTGCAGCCGCAGGATGTCCGGTTTGGAGTCTCTTTCTGGGAATCCCACACGAGGCTGTTGTAAACAGCCCCACGCAGCGGTGGCCA